GAGCCCTGTTGTTCCAAGGTTGTGCTTACATAGTTATTTACCTCTGTCCTATTTAACCCATGTAAACCTGCCTAGCTATTCTTCAATGTGCCTTCTTTTTCCTTTCCCCTTCCCCTTCTAGTGTATGCCCCCCTCCAGGATCCAAACTATCCCGTGTCTATTCCTTAACCTATGCTCCACCTTCTCCTCCTTCCCCTCACCACACCCATACACCCCTGTAACCAGCAACAACAAAAATTGTTTCCCCCTTTTAGTGTGGGTGCTTTTTCATAATCTTTTACGATAAAGGTCCTATGCTGTATTTCTCTGTTTGTGACTGACTGATTTCACTCAGCATAATTTCCTCAAGGTTCATCCATGTTATGCAGTGGCTTGCAGCTTCCTTGTTATTCTTTAGTGTAGCATAATATTCCATTGTGTGTATGTACCAAAGTTTGTTTATCCATTTTTCCATTGATAAGCACTTAGGCTGTCTCCATCTTTTTGCTGTTGTAAATGCACTGCATCATTTTTGTTGAAACATTTCAATTTGTATTTTTTCTACTCCTAACTACTTGGTTTTTGCCAATTCTTTCAGTAGAGTTTGAACTTCTTCCTTAAATGCTGTTGGTTCTTAATCATAAGGTACTGCTTGAAATGGTTGAACATAGACCAATTCTTTTGGGTACAGTGAATGTATATTCCTTTCATCTTCTTTTGATGCTTCCTACATTATTCCATATTTTTCCATGTTGTTGTTGTTGTTAAGTGTCATCAAGTGGGTTCTGACCCATAGTGATCCTATATAGGGTTTCCAAGGAGAAGCTGGTGAGCTTGAACAACCAACCTTGTGGTTCAAACCGACTTTGCAACCCAGCGCATTAACTTTCAGCACCACATCAGGGGCTGCATTTTGCCCATAGAATCCTTCTATATTGCTCAATTTTTTTCAGCTTGAGAAATCCTAGGCATGTTCTTCTTTTCTCATTTGCGAACTCTAGGTCTTTGCACATTTTATTATAATATATTACTTTGTCTTCTCAAACTGTCCTTTGAAA